CAATTAGTGTTGTAATTTTATTGGCCAATTTTGGCGATCAGTCACGTGATCGCATTTTTTTTACTGGGTACGCTGGGTAGTTATTAATTGTCCGTTGATTCTAATCTTTGAGAGGTAGACTAAGTTAACATTTTTGTAGGCAACGTGTTTAGCGCATTGTCATTAAACGCAATAATAAAAATAAATAAAAAACTAACATTATTATAAATTTTGTTATAACATGATAAACAGAAGTTTATTATCTCCACGTCAACTATTAGATTGCCCGATTTCCCATATATACGTACTGTACATCGGAAAAATTGCCTTTCCACGTCTGTTTGAAAACAGCTGTAATTATCAAATTTAAGGTTTAATATATGTATTAAAGGTTTCTTCATTGGTGAAAATTTGAAAATATAATATTTTGTGATAGGGTTAGGAACTTTGTTGATGTTTGATTTGGATAAACCTGTTGCTGGGCGATAAACTTGCTGTTGCGCAAAAGGAGTATGATTCGAACGAAATTGCTGTTGAGTTGAAGCGGTGGTGCTAATTTGACATATTTGTTGATTCTGAGCCTTTGGTTTTAAATAAGGAGATTTAAATAGTGCATAGATCGACGATTTATGTTGAGGATATTTCAAAGCTTTAGATAGTTTTAATTTTTTTAAGGTTGATTTTATTCTTTCAAATTCATAAATAATAATTAGTAAATAATATTCATTCACTTTACTAGTATTTACCAATACTATATCATTATTCTCGTCAATTTTATTCTTTCCGTATTTTTATCAGTGCTAGTGACCCGGGACAGGTTTGTGAAATAATAAACTTCTTACAAATCGATGCTCTTCCTTTTTTAAAAAAAAAATAATAACTATAATATATAGTTTTAGTTATAAATATATACGGAATAACTTATCTCTAGTTACAGTAATATAGCTATCCGAAAAGAATTAAAATTTTTGCTTAATTTGCTGCATCCCTAGTTTAACTGTATTGTAATTAACGTTAAGTTTTTTTGTTTTATTACAAATTATACTTATGTTATACAAAATAATAAATATTCTTTAAATAAAATTATATTTCATTTCTATTATTTCTTCAACAATTTCGGGGTAAGTAACGTGGATAATGCTAGCTTAATTTTATCATAAAATCATAAACATGTATCGTCAGAAATAGACAAATTTGATAATTTATCTGTTATTTCT